CAGCGTAAAGAAAGTCACATACATTAGCGCAAAGCTTAGCCCAGGATTGAAAGTCAAATTGATCGAACTGTTGAAAGAGAATAAAGACTGCTTCGCCTAGGACTATGACGAGATGCCTGGTTTGAAAAGGGACCTGGTCAAATTGAGGCTACCAATTAAGGATGGCAAGAAGCCCATCAAACAAATGCCCAGAAGATTCGCTCTAGAAATCCTTTCAAAGATCAAGAAATAAGTTGAAAGACTTCTCCGATGCAAATTCATAAGGACCACAAGGTGCATTGAATGGATTGCAAATATAATTCCAGTTATTAAGAAGAATGGTTCTTTAAGAGTTTGCATATATTTTCGTGATTTAAATGTTGCAACTCCTAAAGATGAATACCGAATGCCAGTGGCAGAAATGCTAATTGACTCAGCTGCAGGTTTTGAATATTTAAGTATGCTAGATGGATATTCTGGGTATAACCAGATCTACATTGCTGAAGAATATGTGTCCAAAACAACGTTCAGATGCCCTGGGGCAATAGGTACCTATGAATGGGTAGTAATGCTTTTTGGCCTGAAAAGTGTTGGGGCAACATATCAAAGAGCAATGAATTCCATTTTTCACGACTTCATCGAAACTTTTATGTAGGTTTACATATATGATATTGTGATTAAATCTGTATCAGATGAAAGTCATCTGGATCACCTTCGCCAATCATTCAAAAGAATGAGAAAACATGGCTTGAAGATGAATCCTCTTAAATGTGCTTTTTTTTGTGTAGGATGGAGATTTCCTAGGCTTTATGGTCCATAAGAAGGGGATAGAAAATAAAACAAAGGCTATCATGGAAGCGAAAGCGCCATCAACAAAAAAAAAGAATTACAATCACTATTAGGGAAGATAAATTTATTAAGGAGGTTTATTTCTAACCTAAGTTGTCGAACTCAAGCCTTTTCTCCCCTCCTTCGTCTAAAGTAAGGGAATTTCGAATGGAATAAAGAGCATCAAGAAGCGTTCGACATGATAAAGAAGTATTTAGTACATCCTCCTATCTCGTCACCTCCTTCTAGGAACAACCCCATGAGGTTGTACATATCAGCTTCTAATGCAACTGTAGGTAGTATGTTAGCACAAGAAGATGATAATGGCATTGAATGAGCCATTTTTATTATCTTAGTAAGGTTTTAAATAACGCAAAAACAAGATATAACACTATAGAGAAGCTATGTATCTGCTTTTATTTCTCTTGTACCAAATTAAAATATTATATAAAACCTGTTGATGTTTATGTTTCATCATATTTTGATGTTATTAAACACATGCTATCTAAGCCAATCTTGCACAATCGAATTGGCAAATGGGCATTAACCCTCACCGAGTATTCCTTAGCCTTCTTACCCTTAAAAGAAATGAAAGGTCAAGTAGTCTCATATTTTATTGTGGACCATTCAGTGGTCGAAAACCCACAAAATTATGTTGAGTTGAAACCTTGGAGATTATTCTTTGATGGTTCGACCCATAAGGAGGGTAGTGGAGTTGGAATTTTAATCATTTCTCCTGAAGGAATTCCAACAAAACTCAGGTACAAGATCGAAGGTCCTTTTTGTTCGAACAACGAGGAAAAATATGAAGCATTAATAGCTAGACTTGAAGCCTTGTTGGAATTGGGAGCAACTAGAGTCCAAATCAAGGGAGATTCTGAACTAGTGATCAAGCAAATAACAAAGGATACAAGTGCATAAAAGTATATTTGATCATGTACTTTGTTATTGCCAATAAATTACTTAAAAAATTTGAATATGTGAATATTAAGCACATCCTCAGATTAAAAAATTAAGAGGCAAATGACTTGGCTCAAATTGCGTCGGGATACAAAGTGTCAACAGAAAAGCTCGAAGATCTAATTGAAGTAAAAGCAATGGCTACCAGATTATTCCCATTAGATTTGGAAGATTCAGAATTAGGTTATGCTAGTAAATAAGAATTCGAAGTATTGGTCATCAATACTTTAGCAGATACAAATTGGCGTAGCCCAATCATAAATTACCTTAAAGATCCTTCAATAGATACAGAAAGGAAAATTAAGTATAGAGCATTATCCCATGTCCCGATGGGAAATGAATTGTTTAAGAAAACCCCAGAAGAAATCTTGCTTAAATTCTTAGGAGAAAGTGAAACATACTTAGCATTATCTAGTGTGCACAGTGGGGCATGTGGAGCGCATCAAGCATGCTATAAGATGAAGTGGTTGTTATTTCGATATGGAATGTATTGGCCCACCATACTCAAAGATTGCATAGATTTTGCCAAAGGTTGCCAGGAATGTCGAGTGCATGCAGGTATTTAACATGCTCCTACAAGCGAACTTCACTTTATTATCAAGCCATGGCCTTTTAGAGGATGAGTGTTAGATCTAGTTGGAGAAATTTGACCTACTTCATCTAAAGGCCAAAGATACATTTTGGTAGGAGTAGATTATTTTATAAAGTGGGTCGAAGCAATACCTTTGGAGTAGGTTAATTTTTCTGGGCTCCTATTGGGCACCAATTATACTTCTTAAAAGCATAATATGTGACAACCCCTGTTGATTATGTGTTAGAGATTTTAAGATTTATTATAGGGTTAGAGCTAACTCACATAATGACGGTGTTAACGATAATCTTGGAGCTTTGCATATCCTCTTGAGAATATGGTGAAAGCAACAATGATTAAGAATGAGTGTGACCCATGTCAATTTTACTGGTCCCTTACGGTGGGTGCCAATTGTACTTTCTAAAAGCACAATACGTATGAATACGTGGGCTAGAGTTGTCCCACATATGAAGGTGGGACAACTTTATGTTTGAGATATTTATAGCCACATTGAGTTTGTAACCTATGCCCCTTGGGAATAACAAATGCTTTTGAGAAAATATGGAAGTGAATAGTTAATATTATGATATTTAAGGGAGTGAAGTTAACTTCACTATGACCCCTTCTACATTGTTGCAGACTATAGATATATCAATCCACAATCACGCCCTTTGGATGAATTATTGAAGACATGTACGACATATCTAAGGAGAGAGCATCTCATCCAGAAAATGAACGACCGAAAAGACGCTATGAACGAGATGCCATATCTTTTGTCTCTTTCTCGTCTCCTGTAAGTCGTTTTCAAATATACCGATACAAAACTTAAGTTAATATTTAAGGTTGAAAGTCAATAGAAATGAAAAAAAAGAGACTAAATTCAAAGAATTAAAACGAAATAAAATATCTATCACCAAAAAAAAAAATTGAAATTGCAAGTTAAGTTAAATAATCAAGTAAATATAAAATTAGTGAATAATTAAAATAAAATAGAAAAAATTAGAGAAATGAAGTAGGAGATAAAATGAAAATAGCATTGAATATTTTAGGTTACCAGAAACTCATTATTTTAGGTTACCAAATTTTTGAGCTCCAATTTCCTCTTTTCCGTCCCAAGAAACCAGAAGACCGGTCTCGTAATAGCAGGTATCTTCTGTACAGTTACTATCCCAGTTATGTTTTTGTATGCTATATTTCTAACACAATTTCACTTCTATTAGGTTTGTAGTCCGACAAGGTCAAAATATTCCAAGTTCACAAAGAGGACAAGTTGATAAGGTATCATAAAATAATCGTTGATTAATGCTTGATTTTCTTATTTTAAACTTCTATTGTTTGGCATTGACTTCCTTTGAAACAATTTCCTATAGGCCTGGCTTGCTCTTCCAAGCCTACAGACATCTAGCAGGAATTACGTCCAACCCGGAAAGCATGTTAAAGTTACTTCTCAGTTTCACAACGACAGGACAACAACTTCCTTACAAGGAAACAATGAGAATGACAAGCTTAACCATTCTAATGTCACAACAACTCCAACTGTCATTTATAATACCTCTCGGGTTGTAGATAGTTCAGTGAACAATCATACAACGTACACACGCCAACCCAAAGAGTCTACACAATTTGTAGCTGATAATATTAATATTGATGACCATGACATACTCGAGGTAATTTAGCATGCTTTTGTTGATCTGAGTGGGTTAAATTCATTTGGATCTTTCTTACATGGCAGGAAAATTAGAAGACCGGTAGTATAAAGTCTGTATTGTGTTAAACATGTTTGTTTTTCATGTGGTTAAACGAACCAATTATAACATCAAAGGGCTTACTCAATTTTTAGTCACACTTATATACTGCTACAGATTTTTACTAAAGACTTAATTATATACATATATGTGAAAAACACTGTTACATGGACTGTTGTTGACCAACAACTGGTATTGTTTAAGCTAATACTGCCTCTTTCAGCTACAACTCAGATAAAAGAACTATGCTGTAGGCAACACTAGCTTGTCTGTTTTCATACTAGATGCTGTCTATCACCAAAAACAAGTGTCAAACCATATACTAAGTACCATTTCAAAATCCACTTGTTTCTTTTGTGTTTAGTTCCATTTCTTCTCTACTTCTGACTAAACCGAAACACAACCTCCAATGTGTTAGGTTCCTTCACTCCTTTATCTGAATCAGTTTTGACTACAACATTTGCTTTTCTTCTACTACCCACACTTCATAAACAAAAGCTCCGGCCTAGTTTGAAGACCTAGGAGGAGGCCCTAAAGCAGTTGAGTTTGAAGACCTAGGGGGAGGCCCTAAAGCAGTTGAATTAGGATGGAAGATCCTTTTCTGTAAGAAATTTGAAACTTTATTCTATGCTATCATGTTATGGATCAATGTTTTCCTTTTTATTACAAATGTTCCTTTGTTATAAAAAACTGCTTGCTTGATACCAATATTTGTTGTTTTTAGAATACAAATATGTCAATGACTATGGTGATAGAAACTGAATATATTATTGAATAATACATGTTTAGGGATCAAGCACATTGCAAATTGTGCAGGAAGCTATTCCAAATGTTTGAGTATTCAGAGATTTTGAAGCTAGAAGCTTCTGATTTCAAAAAGATTAAGCAAAGAAATTTACCAACACCTCAATAGTGTCATGGACTCAGACTCTAGCACCATTGAACATCAAGATAGCTTACTATCTCACTTTGTTTCGAAGCTCAACGAGTATCTCAGTCAGCATCAGGTGTACAAGTTCTCTGATGATGAGAAGCTTGCACAAATGTTTGGTCTTTTTTCACTTTTCATTTTAGCCCGAACTAAATTTGGAATACTTCATCCCAAGCATCACTTGTCCAACAAAGTGGATGAGCTGTATTTAAGATATCAAATTCTACTATGCTTCGAGATTCGTGTCAAAATTTATGGGCTAAATTTCTTGGATGAGATGGAAAATGTCCAACTAAGGCACTATGTTGATTTTTGCAAAATCATAATTTCCATCATTCGAATGTTGCTCGATCTACCAATCACCAACACCAATGATACATTTCTGGTTAAGCTCATTCCTTCACTGAAACTTGCAAATAATTACAGCAGGTACTTCCCGCCCTGTATTTATCTATTTTGTTAATTTATTTTTAGGTTTGAGTAATTAAATACAATTTTATATATAATTTATTTAGGATGGAGGATGACTCAGGTAAGAAAATGGTGAGAAAATTATTAGAGCATATAACGAACCGGTCTGATATTTTATTGAAGAAAGCAGAGTCTTCTCACATAGATCCTGAGATTATTGAATTCTGTTGTATAACCTTGACTCTTATTAAGGACTCTCCATTTAGCACCGCACTTTGCCCGGTAATTTAAATCTTAGATATTTAATGTACATAATATTATTTTATTATTTTCCATATAACAATATTTTACTAATTTTCATAAAATTTTATTGCAGATTGCAAAAGATATGTGCTATTCACTTCCAAATTGCTCCAACAATAATTCAGTATATGTCAAAAAAATTCTTACCACTATTAAATCTGACTCTAAGGTAATTAAACTATAATTTCTCTACTATTTTGTTTAGTTAGGTACCCAATTTTTGTTCTAAGAATATTTTATATGTTTTATATATTTTTAATCAAAAATTTATAAAATATATTTTAAAGGTATTTGACTTTATTTTAAATTATTTATAAATTATACATTTAAATGAATTTCTCAATTTTTTATATGTTATTGACAATCTTATATTAATTATATTTATGTTTAAAAAATTCAAACTCTTGAATAAATTTGTTGTTAGTTTCTTCTAATTTAAATAAATCAGTATTTTTAACAATAATTTATTATATTAATAATGATATGTTGTTATTTATTTAATTTATGGAACCAAATTTATTTTAACTTTTAGATTTTTATAAATAAATATAACGACATTGTTATAAATTATAAATTTAAATGAATCCTCAATCCAATGCGATACAGTTTCCTGTTGTGCATATTGATGCGGAGTCCTGATACCATCTCAGAAGCCTCTCATTATTGATTTTAAGGCCCACAAATTACTCCATCTCCCCTCCCCTACCAATATGGTATCATCAGCGAATTGGAACAAACCATATGAGACCTCATCATTCACTATGAATCCTTTGTAAATACCACTCTTCAATCATTTAGCTACCAAAGCAAATAATAATGGTGATAAGGGATCGCCTTGTCGTAATCCCCGTGACAAAACAAAATCCTTTGTGGGACTGCCATTGATTAGAACTGGCATACTGTTGCTGAATACTCTTTCCTCCATCCATCTTATCCATTTGTGCCAGAAACCAAATCTTCTAAGTAAATATTGCAGGAAGTCCCAGCTTACACAATCGAATACCTGAGCAAAATCAACCTTAAATAGCATACAATTTTTTCCTTCTTTTAGCAATGTCTCTCATTTCAATTCCACAAAGTCTAGAATTTGTCTCCCTGGCACAAATCCTGTTTGCGATTTCGAGACAATTTTGCCAATTACTTTTGTGAGTCTTGTTGCAAGTAATTGGCAATTACTTTATAGAGGCACCCTATTAAGCAAATTGGCCTAAATTCTTCCAATGTCTAAGGATTTTGAACTTTTGGTACAAGAGCTAAGAAGAAAGTAGATAGTGCTTTGGGTAAGATAGTTGTAGTGTGAAACTCTTGCATGAATGAAATAATCTCGTCCTCAATGATGTCCCAACTCTTCTTTAGAAAGTTGAAGTTGAATCCATCTGGCCCCGGGCTTCAATCTCCGTCACATTCCCAGATGGTTGCTTTGATTTCATCCTCTGTAAACACTTCTTCCAAGTTGACACTGTCTAGAGCACTAAGGGACTTAAATTCAATACCATCTAACCTTGGCCGATTAGCTCCTTATTAAAAAAATCTAGCTTCAAAGTGGACGCAAGCAACTTCTTTTATCTGTGACACACTTTCCAACCTGCCTACATGCGCTTCTAGTGAAATAATGTTGCTACACCTTCTCGTTTCTCTCGTAATACCATGGAAAAATTTGGTGTTGAGGTCTCCTTCCTTTATCCAGTTCTGACGAGATTTCTGCTTTAAAAGTTTTTCTTTGATAAACAGATTTTTTTAGACTAGTTGAGCTTCCTTCCTTTCTTCATGTAATTAGTTTTTTTTAAATTTAAAAGTAGGTTATGTTTATCATAATAAATTATGACAAATAGTAATAAAATCTTATATATAAAAATCATAAAAATAAGTAGTTAGAGGGATAAATAATAATAAATAAGTAAGTAAATATAAGAAGTGATAGTTAAGGTGATATATAATATAAATAAAATAAGAAATTAATTAATTAGTGGAGTGAATAATGATAAATAACTAAATAAAAAAAGAAATTAGTGGAATGAATAATAAATAAATAAAAAAATATAAAAAATTATATAATTGTCCTTATTTTTTAATCCAAAAATTGATCAAGTGATTTAACAATATAAATATTGGTTCTTTGTTAAATCCTTTTGAACATCCTGAATGGAAAATTTGTAAAAACGACATAATATTAATTTACAAATGTAAAAGTGAATATTCATATTGATAAAACTAACAAGATAAAATCTAAAAGCATACATGAAACACCTTGCTATTTTGCTATTTTCTTTTATTGATATGCTCTAGTAATCAGATGCTTTAGAGTGTGCTTAGACTTGTACCTAAAAAAAGGAAAATAAATTCAATATAAGAGTGAATATTCATATTGATAAAACTTGTAGGAGTCTAATAAATTCTTGTAGGAGTCTTTATCCACGGGCGATACACAAAAGGATGACTAAGTCTTCTGCTTTCCACAGTAGAGTCAATTGTTTCTCAATTGAGAATTTCTTCAAATTATACATTTTATTCAGCAGAAGATATCCATCTTTGGCCTTAAGACCCTACAAAAATATAGTTGAAAGCAAAAGAGTATCATTTTATTATAAATATTATGCAAAAACAATAGAAAACAAGATTGCTCAAGAAGAAAAAACAGACCTTCAATTGTAAAAAATCAAATAGATTGTGAAGTAGACACATTATGCTTTTATCCAATATAGATTTTTTTTTTTTTTGCATTTTCTTACTATATCTCGGATACTTAGTAACCTATTTCATACATATCATGAAGGGAAAAAGATATTCGTCAAAACACTTGATACAAATTTAATATAAACAACACGTTAGAAAATTCTATGCAAAAATATTAAGAAGTTGATCACCTCTTCCAGAATTGTTAAAGTGTTCTTGTTTGACCATTGTAAATGCTCCAACATACAATATAAGGTGAGCGAATCTACATTCTCATCGGTATCAATCTCATGAAGGTCACATTAAATCTGCTCACATATATAAAGTAAAAATAAATTTAAACTGGAATATGTTGAATACTAACTAGTAAATGTTTTCTAATAATACCTTAACCCATGTCTTAACAATGTGCGAGAGAATTGAAAGATTCATTCTTATTAAAAGAAATTCAATTGTTTTTCCTGGATCATCACTATCATGAAGTAGTTGAACGCTTCTTAGGCAAACACGAGATAAAAGATCTTCTAATTCTGTCAGTGACAAAATTTCTCCAATCACAACAATATATCTTAATAATTCATCATAATACAAATATAAAGTTGACCAAACTTGTACATAAATTGAAATGCATCATTTCACTAATATAAAAAATTAACAAAGCGAATAAAAAAGTAAATTAACAAAAGCAAATAAAAGACAAATTAAAAAAATTAACAAAAACAAATAAAAATATATTATAAACTGCAAATAAAAGTAAATTATGAAGTAACAAGATTTTTAAATTCAGCGTTAATAATTGGAATGTGAAAGATAAAAACTGGGATCCTATATCTAATGTTCTGCACAGCTATCAACAAAGTTGACTTAATAAAACAATAATGCTCCTTACATTGAAATAAACAAGTTAAGAATATTTATTTTCATTTTAAAAATAAAATAAAAATAAATATAAAATCAAATGGTATAAAAGTTAATAATAATAATAATTAAATATTTTGTTTATATATATTGGAATAATAATATAAAACATATTTGAATTTTAAATAAATTGGGATAATAATATCTTTTCTTTCATTTTTTTTTCTTTCAAATATTTAGAAAAATTATCCAGCCTCTCAAATAAGTTTCTCAATACTTCTGTATTAGACCCATGCATAGCAACACTTGTATGGAATAATAACTCTATCTTCTCTGACTTGTGTCATTGGTTCTGATGCTAGAGGGAAATGCCAACAATACAATATAATTATTATTTATTCTCCTTATGTCACCTACGGACCATCTCCATAAATTGCTGCATTCGAGTAGAATTTATAAATTTATATGCTATAACTACTGCGTAATAAAAATAATATGATATATCGTATATGAGTAAGTGAATATACATCATACAATTGTTGACAAAGGACATTAAACATCAGTCTGTCATTAGATTTTAAAAACTTTTCGTCATTTGTGAAAAAAATATCACGATGGGGCAGCAAGTGCATATCCATCAAAGCAATCAAATGAGAATATATAAAAACTAATGCTTCCAGGTAAGGATGTTGGTATTCAAACTCCCACCCACGTAAGGAATTTGAATATTCAGCTCGTATTTTTACCTTATCTTCTACGGTTTTAAGTAAGGAATCAAAGAAATCACTCTTGGAGAAGAGCAGTCCAACCAAACACAAAGTTAATATTAAACCAATAGGTGAACCTGTCAAATGACTTGCATCAGAATCTATATGTACAATAAAAAATACAACAAAAAAAGTTGACAAAAAAAATACCTTCTCTTATTGTTCTGCAATATTTTTTAGATGAATTCTCAATTTTTTCGAAGAATCACTGGATTTTCCATAGAATTGAGAATTTATCTAAAAAATATTGCATAACAGGAGAAGGTCTTCTTTTTGTCAGTTTTTTTTGTTGTATTTTTTATTGTACATATGGATTCTGATGCAAGTCATTTGACAAAGTTCACCTATTGGTTCAATACTAAATCTGTGTCTGGTTGAACTGCTCTTCTCTCCAAGAGTGATTTGTTTCATTCCTTACTTAAAACCGTAGAAGACAATGTCAAAATACGAGCTGAATATTCAAATTCCTTCTGTGGGTGGGAGCTTGAATACCAACATTCTTACCTAGAAGCATTAGTTTTTATATATTCTACTCTAATTGCTTTGATGAATCTGTCCCATCGTGATATTTTTTTCACAAATGTCGAAAAGTTTTTAAAATCTAATGTCAGACTCATGTTTGATTTCCTTTGTCAACAATTGCATGATGTATATTCGCTTACTCATATAAGGTATATCATATTATTTTTGCTACGCAGTAATTATAACATATAAATCTCTAAATTCTAGTCGTTTATGAATGCAACAATTCAAGGAGATAACCAATAAGTCACCTAAGGAGAATAAATAATAACTATATTGTATTGTTGGTTTTTGCCTCAGCATCAGAACCAATGATACCAACCATGTTAAAACTTATTTGAGAGACTCGATAATTTTTTTGAATATTTGAAAGAAAGAAAAAAAAATGAAAGAAAAGATATTATTATCCCAATTTATTTAAAATTCAAATATGTTCTGCAATATATATATATATATATATATATATATATATATATATATATATATATATATATATATATATATATATATATATATATATATATATATATATATAAATGAAAATTTTGATGATTATTATTAACTTTTATACTATTTGATTTTACATTTATTTTTTAAATGAAAATAAATATTCTTAACTTGTTTATTTCAATGTAAGGAGCACTATTGTTTGGTTAAGTCAATTCTATTGATAGTTGTGCAGAACATTAGATATAGAATTGCGGTTTTTATCCTTGACATTCCATTTATTAACGCTGAATTTAAAAGTCTTGCTACTTCATAATTTACTTTTATTTGCAGTTTATAATATATTTTTATTTTTTTTTGTTAATTTTTTTAATTTGTCTTTTATTTACTTTTTTTATTCGCTTTGTTAATTTTTTATATGAGTGAAATGATGCATTTCAATTTATGTGCAGGCTTCGTTAACGCTACATTTGTATTATGATAGATTATTAAGATATATTATTGTGATTGTAGAAAGGCTGGATCAACTCTACATTTGTATTATGATGGATTATTGTGATTGTAGAAATTTTGTCACTGACAGAATTAAAAGATCTTTTATCTCGTGCTTGCCTAAGAAGCGCTCAACTACTTCATGATAGTGATGATCTAGGAAAACAATTCAATTTGTTTTAACAAGATTATTGTTCATTAATGACAAGTCAGTAATCTTTCGATTCTCTAGCACAGTTAAAACATGGGTTAAGATATTTTTAGAAAACATTTACTAGTTAGTATTCAATCTATTTCGATTTAAATTTACTTTTACTTTATATATGTGTGCAAATTCAATGTGACCTTCATGAAATCTTTCAATGTTGATTATCTCACCTTATATTGTATGTTGGAGTATTTATAATTGTCAAAGAAGAACACCTTAACAATTCTGGAAAAGGTGATCAACTTCCTAGTGCTTTTGCATATATTTTTTTTATGTGTTGTTTATATTAAATTTGTATCAAGTGTTTCAACTAATATTTTTTTTCCTTGATGATATGTATGAAATTGGTTACTAAGTATCGAGATATGGTAAGAAAATGCAAAATAAAATAAAAAAATAAAATGCTTATTCCTGGAACATGTATACACAACTCGTAAATGTTCAGAAATTCATACATTAAACCGACAGATTGGGGTGACTTCATGAGGAATTATCTATTGGATAAAAGCATAATGTGTCTACTTCACAGTCTATTTGATTTTTTGCAAAGGTCTGTTTTTTCTTCTTGAGCAATATTGTTTTTGCGCAATATTTATAATAAAATGATAGTCTTTTGCTTTCAACTATATAGGGTCTTAAGGTCAAAGATGGAAAACAATTGATCCTAGTGTGGCAAAACAGAAGACTTAGTCATCCCATGAATGCATTATTTTAGAGAAAATAATTCAACTTCACTAGGGTTGCAACCAAATTTCTCCTTTTTATTTCCAAATTTTAATAATAATCCTGAAGGTAATGAAAGAAATGAAATTACAGTTAATAGTAAGGTTCTTGTAAGACAATTTATCATATTAATATTTTAAATTAATTCTCACATTTGCTCTGTCAATATTCTCTTTATTATGTCTAGAATAATTTTGTTTCCACCTTTCTTGTTAATTTTTTTTTTCGATACATACTTCATATTTGTCTAACTGTTCTCAGTATTAGTTTTTTTTCTAGACGCCTCATTTGTTTTCCAACTTATGGGTCTATTTTGTATTTCTCTTTCATATGTTTCATATGCTAAAGAGGTTCAAATATTACATGGCAGTTGAGTGGTGGATTTCTCTAAGAACATTATGGATATGAATATATCCATTGCTAAGAAAGTTTTTAAGTTTGATTCTTTTCTAGAGAACTTAAGTGACACTTATATCAGTTCTTAGAAATTTTTGCAAGGCTATCTTGAGAGCACTTTGCAGGTTTTTTTTTAACATGGAATCATCTATGAAATGATTGGAGATGGAACCGAGGCTGAACGGTGTATCCGAGAGGGAGAAGTTGTATCCAAGTCACTTGACTTACCTTTGTTTGTAGCTGCTTTTTCTTCCATCTTGGATATACTTGTAGCCTTAAGTTCTTATGCTTTTTCATTCTCTAGATGATAAGAAATTGATTTTTCACTTTTGTCATGTGATTCATTAGGTAAATTGGATACTCAGACAACCCAATGTGGATTGTTAGATAAGACAACATTTTGTTGCTCAAACTGTCCGTTGTTTTTTGAATTCACTTTGTCAAATTACACTGAAAAAGGAGATGGAGAAAATATGTTCCAATCATTTCTGGACAGCTTAATTAAAGCTAAATGTCCAAACTCTGGAAGTTGTTTGAACTCTGAAATTGAAGTTTTAAAATGTATTTGCCTCATGGGTTCCGAGTGTGATGAAACTTGTGCTTTCAGCAAAATGCAATGTTGGCCCTTTCTTTCATCTAAACGTGCGTTGTCTTGGCCCTTAAATGATTGTATTGATCTAAAATGGGAGTTTATTCAAAGAAAGCTTTTAATTAGATTACATATTCGATTAGGTATGAGTCCCATTTCATACTTTTAGTCTTTTACTTAACAAACTCGGACATTTGATATTAAAAAATCATGGGTAGTGTCTTCCTAATATGTTTGTTCACTCACAGGGAGATGCCTTGCCAATCTCGGCAAAATTGATGAAGCACGTGAAAATTTTATAAGAAGCATATCTTTTCGGGGTGAAGTTCCTTCATTTCCCTTTCCTCATTTTGTTTTAGGAGTGCCCAAGAGATGTGTTTGTTGTGGAGCGTGCTGAATTAATTTACAACATATGCTGGTTTACTTGGAAGTGTTGTATGTCTAAGTCTGGAAGGTATTTTGTTTTGACTACAAACTGAAAATGTACCATTGGAAATTATGCCTTACTTGCTATATGCCATTAGCTGCCATAATTTTAGCAATATTTTGGATTTCATTTATTGTACTCCTGCAGTTGTATTAACACATGCATTATTATATTTATGAAGTTTTAGTATGTTGTTCTAAAAGCATGTCACTTTATCACTAACATTTTGGTTTTTCCCTTCAGCAACATCTTTCTTGATATCATCCATGTTAAAGACTCAGTATCTTGGCTAATGCAAGCCTATGTACTTTGTCGTGAGGTTCCTGGACTTTTGCAAAAGGTTATATTCTCCATCTTGTTATTATTTGCCTCCATTTTGTTATTATTTGCGACAGTTTTTGCTCAATTGGTTTAACTATTTGATTGGGTATAGTTTCATAATTATGAATATTGGGTTGTTTTGGATTGTCCTTATAACTCTCAAAGCATTAAACAAGATTAAATCCGAAGAATATATGTTTTGAACTTCTAAAACTCTATTATGCAAGACTCAACTATTACCCTCTTTCATGTTGATAATGATAATTGAAACTTTAGAAGTTTCCAACATAGCAGCAACCCACATAGGCTGTAGAAAGTATCCATTTCATGTAATATATCAGTTTTAATAACATCAGAAATTTGATATCATAGTTATTGTTTATAATGAACTTGTTGACCTGCCTTGACTTTCAGCTTTTTGATATCTTCTTTTAGTGTTATTCTTTTATCAATTGAGGAGGTTATGACTTTAGTGTGCTAATGATATATGCAACATGTGTCTAAATTGCTTGCTGTGATGTGCACAGTTTCTGGGGGTGGACATCGGTCGGTTTGGGCTGGATTTGGGTCTAATATGTCAAACCATGCAAAACCATGGATTCAAATATTAGACCCAATTCCGACCAAAGTTGTAATCGGTTTGATCGGATTCGGTTTAATCGGTTAAAATGGATCGGTTTGTTCGGTTAATTAATATTAAATTGTCATAAAAAATTCAATTATATCTTAATTTTTTAAATTAAAACAATATTAAATAATAAATTTAAAGCAATAATAAAAATAATAAATGACCCAATTTAACACTCTTTTACATTCTAATTTACACTGTCTTCCAAATAAACTATGATCAAATTGTAAATTTCAACAGAGCCTGGTATTTGCTGCAGCAAGTAGCTTACAACACATTCTATCAATATATTAAAGTCATCCAACTTTAAAGCTTCAAACTTGATTGTGCATGACTCTCTCTCAGCTGCTTCTGCTTCTATATACTCATCCATGAATTTTTTGGTAAAGATATTCAAACTTGGATTTTGGTATCACGGTTGAGTTTTGAAAAGGAACCGATTGTAGTGTTATTATCCGTTTATTCTGTTTCACCAAGTACGTAGCTTGTGAGATTATATATGTATAACATACAAGATATGATGTTTAACAAGGTAATTTATAATTTTACATTTGGTTCAGATAAGAAGGCGGATAAGCTGATAGAGGGGCACTTCTTTTGTTGATGGCATAGTTCCAGATATCAGAACATTTCTTCAAAAGGATGCCCAAACAGAAGGTTCCTATAGTGCATCAGTTTCAGAGAAACGATGGAAAATTGATGTTCATCTAAAAGAATTGTTGAGGTATACTACCATTGTTTTCATAAATAAATCTTCACACACTTTGATTTAAGAATATATGTACATCCTGCACATTTTGAATTCGGTAGAACAACCTGTCCTCAATGCAACATTCTACATAAATTTTATTAAGGAATTTAAAATAGTACAATTTATAATAGCATGACATGGTAGAGGAAAATAGTTTTAATTCTAAGATACAAATTGTTATCGGTACATTTGTCATGTTATATATCTTCACATTTGTCATGTTATATATCTTCACAGAAACCTTGAAGATTCGTGGTTAGGATCATGGAGGTGCTTACTTTAAGGAGAACTTGTGAATTGCAAGAATTTTGAGGCAGTGTTTGAAAAACTTATCACTAATCTAACATTTGAATTGAAATCAGATATAAATATATAAATAGGGGTCTTCTTAAAACAATTCTCGGAGGCTTTTGTGGAGAAAAGCAATGAAGCAATTATGATGAAGCAATGAGCGGAATATTATTAAAAACAAACAATAGATCACAAGAGTGTGTTTTTGAACTCTTGAATAAGGCTTCTTGTAAGCTGAAAGTGGATGGTGGTACAAAAAGAGATCCTATCATCCTTGTGCTGGATGATAAAATGTTGGTATGTAAATTGTTGTTTCTGACTTATTATCATGTGAGAAAATGTCGGTACGTGAATTATTGTTTATGACTTATTATTGTTAAATTGTAATTCGATTGTGCTGAAACTATGTGTCGAAGAGTTTAGAGGGGGATCGAAGCAGATTGTTCGAAGGAAGCCATTATTACTCTGTCGAAGAGCTTGTGGATCGAAGTAAGCTACACATAGATTTGATACAGATTCAATATAGATTTGATTTAGTATCAAGATAAATATTTTGGACTTTTATAGTTTTGGGCTTTGGCTAACCTAAATTTATAAATAGAGGGATGATAGGGTATTAACCTATCGGCTCTATTCGAGTTAGAGCAACTCCAGAAAAGAAGAAAGAGGTTAGAATCCAATGTAAAATTGGGAGAAATTTTTGGCTACCTTTCATTCATGTAAAAGATGGTTATAAGGAAATGGAAATCATTCTAACAAATTCTCTAGATTTCCGGATCACATGATAGCTGCTACATGATCAATACAAGTGGAAACTTCTAGTACATAATTAAAATGAAAAGGTAAAAAGTAAAACAGAAAGTGGTGGCAGCACTGTAGAAATTTCACTTAGGCAAAGTCTTGCATCCAAATGGGTTGCTTTCTAGCCCTTTGACTCTTTCTCAACACTGGGCCTCCAACCTCATTAGGCCCAATAGCAGAATTTTAGTTTGAAGGGGGCTCTGAACTCGTATCATTACTCCGTTCTTCCACGACAACCTTGTCCTCAAGGTTGAAATTCGGATAAGTTTCCTTGAGCATATTGATCTCTTCCCAAGTGGCTTCAACGACAGGTAATCCTACCCAATGAATCAATAACTGTTTGCACATTCCCGTAGGTGTTTTAAGCTCGCGAGCTCCAAGAATCTGAGCAGGTTGGAGGGCAACCCGAGTGCCTATGACGAATGGGTCCAGAGAAGGAGTGACCAAAGGCGGTTTTCCGTAATATTTTTTGAGCTTGGAAACATGAAAAACCGGGTGAATGCGAGCCGTGTTTGGTAATGCTAACTCATACGCAATTGGGCCAAGGCGCTGTAGAATTTTAAATGGTCCAAAATAACGCTTTGAAAGTTTAGGTGAAGCTCTTCCCCGAACTGAGATTTATCAGTATGGTTGGAGACGAAGCCAAACCCAAGTACCGACTTCAAAAGAACGATCTTGTCGATGAACATTGGCCTGATTACGCATACGCATCTGTGACAACGTCAAGTTCTCCTTAATGAGCCGTAACATCTGGTGTGGTCTTGCCAAGGTTTCATCAAGAGATGCAACCACTGTGGACCTTGTGATGTAGGAACGAATGGAGGGGGGAGAGCGGATATAGACGACTTCAAACGGGGTCATTTTAATGGCAGAGTGGTGAGTGGTGTTGTACCAATACTCTGCCAACGGCAGGTAAAATAGCCACTGTTTTGGTGTATCCTTAGTCAAGCAACGCAAATAAGTCTCCAAAGTGCGATTGGTTACTTCCGTTTGGCCATCTGTTTGAGGGTGGTAGGAACTGCTAAAAGCTAAGGTGGTACCCTGTAAACGAAATAGTTCACGCCAAAATTTGCTCACAAAAACCTTGTCTCGGTCACTCACAATAGTCTTTGGCATACCATGAAGCTTGTAAACTTCCGCTAAAAATACAGCAGCAAGCATAGATGCAGAGAACGCAGCAGGCAGTGCTATGAAGTGCGCGTACTTAGGGTAAGAGAACTGACTTTGGTGTTTTGCGTTTGATCGCAATTGTTGCGGATAGCAAGAGTCACCACCGATTTTTCTTTTATCCAATAAAGGAAATGGTGAAAAGAACAGGAAATACCTTTTGAGAATTTTCTTGAGTTCGGGGGGTAGGTTATGAAAAGGGAAGGTGTTAGCACCCTTCTCATCCGTAGTTATCTACGAGCTCTTAGTTGCTAGTCCACTTTGAAATGTTTTGTAAAAAAATATGTTTGTGTTTGTTTTGAAAGTATTTTTGAAAATTGTCTTTGTTTAGGCGAACTTTGTAATGATTCTCGTCTCTATAAGAATGTATACAAAGTGTTGACTTTTGAAAATATTTCATGAAAGTGTTGGTGTGTTTGAAAGATGTTTTGTTTGAAATGTTTGTGAGCAAGCAACTATGAATGTTCTACCTACTCAAAAAGTCTTTGTTCTTTTCCCCCTCTTTTAGATAGTGTTATCTTACCATTAGTTACTAAGAAACCATTTCATTGGATGTGAAGGGACGGACGCTGGTCATCGTACAGTCATAGAAGGCAACATTGTAGAATACCTTAGCAATTATCGTAAGGGTCTAAGATCGTTTACCGAAGGCAACATCAAAGGGTCATCGAGGGACTACGATCTTGTAATCGTTGGTCTTTGCTAAAGTATCCCACGTTCGAGGGACATGACTGTTTTAATTCTAAGGCAACAAGTGTGGGTTAACCCTAGAGGTGCAAGTGTGTGAGGTGTATTATTTTCATGCATTTTTGTCTTGAATTAGGATTGTCTATTTGTTTGATTTTATGTCTTTTCATACAAACCATAATTACTAGCAATAATATTAAAAGCGATAAATTGCGGAATTTAAAGTCCTACGCTATTACATCATTTAGGGGATGAGGATACAAATTACGAATGTGGATGAAAGCAATTAAAACCTAATTACTATTACAAACATATTAAATAATGCCAAATAAAATGTACAAGGATAGAAAGATAATGAATTAAAAAGACAAATTATTTTTATGGTTTTTTGTATGAAAAGGTTTTAACTAAACTAATTAATTAGAAAGTAAGTTAATTAGTTAGAATTTTTTTTATTAATAACCATGTATTAAAATAATATTTCGCAAATAACCGGGTTTCGGAAAAAATTACGCAAATAACCATGTTTCAGATGACTCCCCAAAGGAGGAGCCATCTCACTTGGCGCCTCCACCTAGGGTTTTGCCCTAGACCCCATCTCACTTGGCGCCTCCCTTGGCTTTTAGCCAAGTGAGATGGCGCATGCTCCTTAAAAGTGAGAGGAGGCGCCATCTCACTTGGCTCCTAGGGCAAAACTAGGGCAAAATGTTGTTTTATAAATAATTCATCCGTTTCTCCGAAATTTCTCACACTTTCTCGCACTGTATTTTTATTTTATACTCCGTTATTTGCGTCATGACGTCGCCTATGATTTTTAGCAGAGATGGTTACGTTATATTCTCCGCCACGAAACCTGCGATGAAAATGAAATTCTGGCACATTCACTCCATAGAGCGTCTGAAGCGGGAGTTGATGCGGTGGCTAGATGGAGACATTGCGGAGGGGGAAAAATTCGAAGGATCCAGCAAAAACGAACAACAACCTCACATGCGACATGAAGACCTAATGTGTGGTTGGAGGAAGTCAAAACAGACAGTGATGTAATGCTGATGATGCATGGGTCAGATGAAATTGTGTTAACAGTTGTAATTTCCTAGATTGAATATCGTTAATTATTGTTGTACGCGTTTTATTAATTGTAGCAAAATCTGTTAACGGAAAACCCAAATGTTTACAACACAATTATGAAAAGATTTTATGTATTACAATATTTATGTGGTCGAGCCAAATGCCCGATTCGGACAGTTTTTGCGATTGTGTCCGACCTGACAGCATAAACCACACTTTCTTTCCAACCTGTCAAGATCGTCCATTTCTGTTGTGATGCGCCTACTTTTGGGACGACCCTTCTTGTTCCTTCGCATTTGGTCATTGTGCAAAACTATATCGCCGTTGTATTCAGGCCAATAATCTGGTTTTGCCACCAAAGGAAAGTTGTTGTTGTAAACAGTGAGCAACGTTTCAGATTTGTAAACGTTTGACAGCAGTTGAAGCGCGTCTTGATGGGTATGAGCACAAGCGGCAATGACATGAGAGCAAGGCATACGAAATGCTTGAAACCTGCCACAATCGCACCATTGAGAAGGTAAAATGACCCTGTATTCTTGTCTTGGCAGGCCTTCATTGTGGTCGATTGTCTCTTTCACAATGAAGTTGTGGCTGTGTCGGTCAAACCGTATAACCATGTGAGTGTTGGCTTTAGCACTTTCAGCCTTAATGTATTTCATGCAGCTTTCACTCCATAGTTGTCCAGATTGCAACACCGCATTCCACATTTCACCTCTTTTGGCAAATAACGCAGCCATCCTAAAATACGTAGATTTTACCAAGGCAGTGATTGGGAGGTTTCGTATGCCCTTGAATACCCCATTCATTGATTCAATAAGATTCGTTGTAATATGCCCCCATCTTTGGCCATTGTCGTATGACCTAGTCCATTTTTCCACCGGAATATTGTCGATCCACCTACCGGCTTCCGGATTAGACAAACGGATCTCGTTGCGGTAATATTTGAATGTGGGTTGTGTCAATGCATATCTCGCATTCATAACCGCTTTCCTCAATGTTTTGTCCTTGACCTCCCTCGAGAAATTCTGGACGATATGCCTAACGCAATAGACATGCGTAGAAGGAGGGTCATGCCAACCATTTGCTGGATTATTGTAGGCACTTTCAATGGAGGCATGTCTGTCCGAGATCAAACAGAGATCTGGTTGAGGAGCCACGTGTGTCCGAAGATTTTTCAGGAAAAAGCTCCAAGCACCACCGGTCTCCCCCTCGACAAGGGCAAACGCAACGGGGAAAATGTTGTTGTTTCCATCTTGTGCAACTGCCATCAATAGCGTGCCTTTGTACTTCCCATACAACCAAGTCCCATCAATTTGTAAAATTGGTTTGCATGATGCAAACCCTGTGATGCATGGTTGAAATGCCCAAAATACGCGACTGAATATTCCGTTGCCATGCAGTAGACTACCATCTTG